TAGAATTCCTGGAATTTTAAAGGGGAGGAGGATATCTATTTTAATAGATAGTGGAAGCACACATAGCTTCATAAATGAGAGACTGGCTAAGGAGCTGAAGTACACTACTGAGGAAACCAAAATCATAACAATGAGAGTGGCTAATGGTGAAAAGCTAGAGAGTAAGGCTTTGAATCAACTACTGGTTTGGAAGGTGCATGACTGGGAGTTCCAGTATAAATTGAGAACTTTGAAGCTAGAAGGTAATGACATGGTATTGGGGGTGAACTGGATGAGTCAATTTGGCCTCACAAAATTTGACTATATCCAAGGATATGTGAAGTTCAAACACCAACAGGAAGAGGTCATCTTGAGGAGTGAAGGTTCAGAACTACACGTTAAAATGATGGAAGTAGAGGATATGGAGAATTTGTTTACAAGGTACAATTATGGAGTGGCTGGGCATTTATACAATATTGTGGAGAAAGGGAAAGAAGAATTTCCATGCCAAATCACTGAGGTTATTAGCCAATATATAGAGGTATTTGAAGAACCAATAGGGTTGCCACCTCCTAGGTCACATGACCACCATATTCCATTGGAAGATGGAGAACAACCATTTGGAACAAGGCCTTATAGATGCCCTTTAATTCAGAAAACAGAAATAAAGAGGCTAGTGGTGGAGATGCGGAGATACAAATTAAACAGCTAAAGGAGAACCTATCTCAGGCGATGGCTAGGATGAAACTTTACGCAGACAAAAACAGGGCAGTGAGGTCCCTTGAAGATGGGGATTGGGTTTTTCTCAAGCTACGTCCTTGTACTCAACATTCAGTGGAGCATAGCAAAACCAAAAACTCTATACTTTGGTCCATATCAAATCCTTAAGAAGATAGGGACAGTCGCCTGCCTATTAGCACTACCTGAAGGTTCTAATATTCACCCAATTTTCCATGTTTCGCTATTGAAAAAACTTGGAGACAACGCGATGTCAGTGCTACAATTTCCAAAGGAAAAGCAATCGCTACAGGCAGGTCATTATCCTCCAGCCATTTTACAATTCGGGCTAGTGAAGTGCAGACATCGAACAAAGTACAATGGCTCATTACATGGTCGAGCACTCGAGCTCATCACCAGACAGTACAACCTGGGAGGATGCTGAATAGGTTAGAACTCACTATCTAGCATGTGGATCTTGGGGACAAGATAAATGTGAGGAGGAGGGTTTTTACGTGAGAAGCAACTGGGGAAAAAGAGGAGCAGAACCAGCAAAACCAAAAAGAAAAGAGGAAGAAGAAGGCAACAGAATTACCTGACTTTGGAATTCAAAACGGTGTCGTTCAAACTTAAGCAAAATCGCGCCGTTTTGAACTAATAAATTGTAATAGTTAAAAAATCGTTTTTTGCATTTTTTTTCTTTTGTCAAAGCACGACTTGCACTGGCGTATATTAACCTCCATTTGCAAAGGAAGAAGGGTCTGTGATTTTGACTGTAATCTGATATTTTCAGTGAATTTGTTGAAATCGTTCAACAGCTTTCCTCATCTCCTTCTTCTTAATTTTCTCATTTATCCGTTTCCCATTCTATTTTTTGTTTTATTGGTTACTAATTCAGCTGATTTTAGTTGGAAGTCTCCATTTTCTGAGCTGCAGTTACGGTGAGGATCCAAGCTTAAGTTCCGACCGTGACAGACAAGTGATGCTACTTATAAAGAATTCGATAGAACACACTAAGAATTATGGCTAGTAATAGCAA